TCCAACAAAAATTTAAACTTATCATTCATAAATAGTATAAAAAAAAGTAAAAACTCTTACAAGCTGCACGAAACATGCTTGAAAAGGATTATCAAAAGGAAAATTTATAAGACAAGGAAAGGGATGGGTATCAAATCCATTGATAAAAGTCACACATGATGGAACCGCAAATTAATGCTTGATAAAACATCTAGTCTTAAGTTTAATGAGTAAAGTACATCACATGAATGTGACCATAAGTATTCATATTTATGAATAATACCATCCTAAGTGAATGAGTACTTGGTAACTATATCAAACAAACTGGAGGCTAAGCTTATTGCTTTTAATAGGTCTTATAACAGATTTCTATTAAAATGCTCAATGCAGGGGCACTATTGATGGGATCTACCATGTGAGTAAAAGTAGTGCCAATTGTAGAAGTTGGAAACTTGACTCTAACAGCACTCATGCCAAGAAAACAGGACATGTGGCCAATTTTTGTGTCAACATTGCTAAATTCTTACTGAGAAAAGCTTAAAGTCTTACGTATGTTGTATGCCTAATTAGTAACTTAAAATTGTTGGTTCTAAGCATTAGTTTACCATGCAATTCTAACTAATTTGCCAACACATGTTCACTAAGTGAAGGTTTAAATCATAAGATACCTTCACCATATGCATAAGATTTCCAAATTATTAATGGGATGTTCTATTTAGAAAATAGTGAGGAAATGTTGAAGAAAATTTCAAAATAGAAGAAAGAAGATAATGGTTGGGAAAAGTTGTAACTGAAAAGGTACCTTTCCATAAATAAACTCTTTCATTTAAATAGGAAGAGACATGTTCTTTGGAAGGTGTCTATTCCCAATAGACACCTAATGCTTTGTAATATCCCAAATTTCTGATATTTTAGCATATAGTTAGGGACTTAATTGTGAAGAAATAACATTGTTGTAGCTTAATGGCAAAATTTTCAAATCTTGAAGGACCTAAAAGAGGAAAGAAATTAGGATAAGGATAGCTGATTTTTTTGCTTTCTTTCTTCTTCCTTATCCATGCATCCTACTCTTCTTCTTATCCCCTATAACTGGCAAAGAGCCCCAGCCACCGACTACACCTCCCCTTGAGAACCAGTAAGAAAAACTTGATTTTTCCTTCTTTTCTTGTTCAAGAACAAGATTTAAAGCTTGGATATCTCCCCCCCTGAAGAATTTTTGGATCTGCTCTGCTCTGTTCCATCTGTCTGCTTCTCTTGCTTTGTGGGTGTGATTTTTCGGTTTCTGGTAAGGGGAAATAGCCATTAATTCCTCTTTTCTTCCTTGAATTGGCTTGGGTTTACTCTAATTTCTCTTAGTCTCTCCAATTTCTGGTAGATCCCCCTTAATTTCTCTTGCACTTCCCGCCGGCCTTCCCCAATCTATGGCTTCGGTTTGCTTGCTGGAATTCTGGTAAGTGATAGCTCCTTCTAAGTCCCAAATTACCCATTAGTTGCTGAAAATTGTCCATTAAATTGCTACCCTGTGCTGTTCGAATTTTTGCAAAATAGGGGGATGAATTCTGGTAGCATTAGGACAAATTTAAGCATTAATTCAAGTAGAATTTATGTGATTGAGTGTTACTTAGCTGCTGTAAGGTTCTAGAGAAAAATCCTGTGGAATTAGCTATTGTTTTGCCAATTTCTAGAAGTTACAGTTACTGTTCACTGCATGATTACTGTTCACAAGTACTGTTCATGTACTAATGGCCAATAATAGGAGGGTTTAAATGTGTAGTTTATACTAAGAATGAAATTGAGATGTCCGGTCATATAGAATTAATTCTTGGATATTTTGGTTAGGTTCTTGATCTTTGGGGCACTTTAGAGCACTTGGATTGAGTCCTCGGTTTTATGCAATTTGAGGTAAGTAAATTATGGTAACGCCATTCGATTTTGAAAGCACATTTCAGCTTGTTTTGAAGTGGTGGTGAGACTAAACCTGTTTTACACAGGTATGATCGATTTGAAATGAAATTATTATTTTTTTTATTGATTTGAGCATGCCTTCTTGGAGTTTACTTAACTGCCCTGATGATCTGGAAATTATTTGTGAATTATGATTTCTTGTTAACTTCTGCCTGGTTTTGTTTTCGATATGGTCATGTTATTTGTGTGCCTGCTAGTGGGAGGTTTATAAACGCTAGCACATGTCGACATGTATTTCTATAGAGCCGGTTCCTCTTGCTAGTGGGAGTTGTTAAACACTGGTATTTCTCTAATCATGCTAGTGGGATTATACACTAGTAAATTGTGTGCTTGCCAGTGGGAGGTTTATAACACTGGCCATGACCTATAGAGGAGACATTTATTTCATTTCCGTGCTCGTACTTGTTTTTCGTGATTATACTTGTTGGCATGCTATAAGTTTAATTAAGGGCTATCCATATTTACTTACTTAGTTATCTCATAGTTTTTCCTTGTCCACCATTTCAAGAAGCGAAGTCAAGGATGAAGAAAAATGAGGGGAGTGACGAGTTAGAAGGCTAGCCATCTTGTAAATTGAACATAGATTTTAGATATAAATCATGATCTTGTAAGCTAGACTTTATTTGGAAATTTTATGATATCGAGCAAATTTTAAAATTGTCTTCAGATTTTGTGGTATCAGATTGTGGTATAATAAGTTTCGAGCCTTGTGCATTTGTGGGACCCTCTCACAAGTGTACGGCATTTATCGCGCCTCGAATTTGGGTTTTGGGGCGTGACATGCTTATAAAAGGCTTGTCATTGTCCTCTTAAAAGTAGACTCCTATTTGGAGAAAAATAGTACCAATATAGAAAATACAAATAACATCCTGTTGTTATCAAACTAAAATAGTCCTCTTTTGCACAATGATTAATTGCCATAGAAATCCTTGTATGAAAGTGATAGTTTTGCCTCTTGAAGAAGTGAGATCCAATGGTTGGTTTCATGAGTGCAAGGCATAATCAATAAGGCTTCATTGTATCTTCCAAGCATTTTTGGCTAATCCCTTTACATGCTGAAATGGTTAGGACAAAAATAGCCCAAAGGAAAGTGGCATTTACAACATGCCTTAAAGCCAATGATATGTTTTCAATCCCCCAAGTTCTAACAAGTTGTGTAGTTAAATGTTATGAAGAGAAAATCTGTCAAAAAAGTTTGTAAACCAAACATATATATATTTTTAATGGAATTAGCTATATGGAATATAACTTTTTCTAGTAATGTTCTTACTTTATAGATGTACTTAGATTTAATTGAAAAAGTGGATTTGAATAGGGAAGTGTGTTAGCGAGCTTCTTTTTCACAATCAGTACCAACCTCTTCAAACTTACAAAAGAAGGGTTAATTAAGGATGGCAATTTCCTCTGAGACCCATGGGGATCCTCATTATAGGGATTGCAATATTCCTCCCCATGGGGTAAGGATGGAGGCATTTTTTTCATGAGGAATTTCCTTTGCTCTATAGGGACTCGTTGGGATTTATATATAATAAAAAAATATAAATTTATTTTTATATATTTTTGTAAATATATTACCGATTAATTTTTACTCACCCAATCCAATTGGCTAACCTAACTCAACCTAAATTGCCGAGCCCAATTCCTTTTCTAGTCTTCCCAAATCCAACTCAAAAAGTCAATTGCAAATTGCAATTGCAAGTTCACAACTCATTTAGTAATAACCCTAGCGCACCATTAGATTCCTCATTTACTCTTCTTCTCTTCAAGCTCTCAACAGTGGCTAGTTGCCTCCACTCGCCTCCAAGGCTCTAACTCCAAGTCCTCACCTCATGATGCGCCTATTCCTTGACTTCATCAGTCTACAATCATCTCCTACTGGCTCTTGTAGTCGGCATCTCTTTTGACTTTATCAAGGTAATATGTCTAAATTCACACAAAGTATAAGGATGGAAAGAGGGAGAAGGAAAGAAAGGCAGAGGAAAGGAAGAAGAAAACAAAGTAGAGGGAAAGAAAGCCCATTACCTTGCCTCAACAATCACAGAATCTATGTTGCTCCCTCTTTTTATCTGTTCCTTTCTTTACTTTTCTTCTCTTTTTTTTTTTCTTTAAAGTCTTATCATCTTTCTATATTACCAAGCTTGCATGACCAACAATTTGATGTTAGATTATTAAATGTAATTGAAGTTTTTTGGAACAATAGAAAAATTTTGTGTTTAAACTACTACAATTAGCCCCAAAAGTATAAAGAAACTACAACTTTTTTCTATGGAAAAATCTTGGTTTTGTGTTTCAGAATTACTATGTTGGGACTTGGGAGTGTGTCATTAAATTAAAGTGAAGTTTTAACTTTCATTTTGCTTGTGATTTAGAGTACTTCAATAAATTTTGAGACTTGGTTTTGTGTCTAAGAAACTGTAAATTTTTCCGTTAAACAATTTGTTGTTAATTAATCAGTTCACAAGCCATTAATTGACTAACAAGTAATTTCTAATTTAATTCGTTCCTAGGTAGTGTTAGGGTGCGCTGATGATGAGGATTGATGAGTTAACAACGATGATGATGTTGTAGCTGACTAAGAAGACACCCAAGAAGGTGAAGGGGGGTATCTTTTGGCAGCACCTGTTTCACGTGTGGAAGGCTACATCCCACAGGCCATTTCAATCTGCCGAGCGATGTGGTTGGTAGTGAATTCCCCAGCCAAGTCCAATAATATAGGATTCCTGGCCAAGCCATGACAAGAAAGGGAGACAGGCTAAACAAGGATGGTGAAATGCTTATGGCCAAGAATGATTACACAACTATCAAAAGTGTACAATGAAGAAGTGCATTACGGTAAGAGCACTAGGAATAGAATATCTTTTGAGGTTTAAACATTCTAATTGGAGTGCTGTTGATGGGAATCAAGATGACAGCATATCTACTACATCATGTGATCCATTACACACCCAAGGAGGTCCAGTCTCGCGAGTTAGAGCTAAGAAGATGCGTGAAGTTTTAAATGGCCTTGTTGAGCAGATCTAGGTTGAAAACAACATACAACAAGCAAATCGAAGCTTGGATGATTATCAAGGCATGGTAAACATCATTCAGGTTCAAGAGAAGCTTAGTTGAGGTCATTTGCACAGAATTACACAATTTGTGTCAAAATCGCACAGTTCTGCCGCAATTTGTAGCAAACTGATATTTTGTTTTGTTTTAGGTTATTTTTAGTGATTTTCACGTTTTTTGTATTATTTTTGGGCTGAACATTCGCTTATTTGAAGCCCAATTCGTGGTTATTAGGTTTAGGACTTAGGGTGTTAATTTCCTATTCTGATTAGGATTTGTTTTCTCTATTTAAAAGGCTTGTAACCCTAATGGGAAGGGAGGCTATTGAATCTGAGATTTTGAGAGACTTTTCTCTTTGGTTCGTTTCAGAACTTTACAGAACTTATCAAGATTATTCTTGTGGCGTTCTAACCTGACTTATCATTCTCGTTCTTAATCGTTCGAGGGTGTGGCGTCAACCAACTTTATACCTCTGGTTCTTGTTGTGTCATAAACAACGGGTCAAGGTTTTTTTTACCTTTGGTTCTTGTTGCGACATAAACAA